AGGGCTGCGGGATGGCGTGGCTCCTAGGAACAACTGCTGCTGATGGAAAATGCATTCTCCTTTTAAATAACCTAGTGCAGTAGGGTGCTGCGGAGGAAAAATGTACATCAGATTTGGTTGTTAAGCGTTTGCTAAAGACAGCTTGAATTAGATTAGCTCATGGATTAAAAATAATTTCAGGTGACTTTAACCCCTTGTTTTAGTGGTGCCTGTTAACTAGCACACACAGTTTCATGAAATACCACATGCAAAGCCAGATTTAAGTAAAAGGTTGTCCAAAACCCAATTAATTTCCTTTTAAATGTCTTTCTGGAAACTTGAGGATGCTGGTTACGCACTGCTCAGTTAAGCATTGCTTCCTCTCACTGTAGGAGAGTGCTTGCTCTCACTTCCTCTCGCTAGTGAGAGTGGTGTCTCACTATAATCTTATTACTCCCCGTGCTCTAGAGGACCTGTGCTGGTTCAGACCCCTTCCCCCCTTGCCCGTCCCCTCCGGTAGCGAGCGTTACGATACGAACGCGCTGCGGGACCAGAGCAGCGGCACGAGCGAGCGCGCGAGGGCTGCAGGAGGAAAGGATTTGATAGGGCGACAGAGAGGACCGTGTACCTACAGAAAGATGAAAAGTGATTTTTATGTTGCTGCCTATTAAATTTTGGGGGAAACTACAGAGAACTGTTGTGTTTCTCTTGAAAGAAACGAGAAGTCTAGCTCGAAGCCTGCCCTTCCTTGGCCGGCAGAGGTGGGATCGCAAGAGCAAGTTTCCTTTGCACGAACGGGCAGGGTCGAGGCCGCCGGCACTGTGGGTGCCCCGTGGGTGCAGGGTCTCCCACACAGGGTCTTTTTCCTTTCTTGATGTGTGTGGAAGTGAAGGAGCATCCTAGTTCCTTGTGGGAAAGGAGGGGCTTGAGAATGTTTGAAACTTGAGACTGTGACGATCTGCCTTGATCCCTTTCAAACAGGGGGCAAAGCGGAGCAGAAATCACATTTACGGGACCAGGGGTTTCTTGCCTCTTTTGGATTTCCTTTCTTCACCACCATTTCCATGGCTCGCTGCTGCCCATGGAGGAAAAGCTCTCAAAGCCTTTGGAAAAAGCGTCTGTAACTTGCAGTGTGTAAACACAGAGCAAGTGCTGACCAGTGGGACGGTGTCCCTCACTGGATAGAGGGGATGGGTGCGTACTGGAAATGACAAATATATATTTTAAAAAAGAATTGCCTTGGAAATGAAACTAGCATTTTGGTGGGTAAGAAAAGAAATCAAAGACTCGTTCCTGATGCACTTTTTTAATCGGGGGGTGGGGAGGGCTGATTGGTTTGTTCTGCTGGATTCTTGTTGTTTTGGGCGGAGGGGAAAGAGGAGTAGATGAGCTGAAGTCTTTCAGGAATGTGGGATTTCTCTTGCTCTTTCAGCCTCTAGAAAAATCACTTAATTCTCCTCCAATTTACCTGCTCACTTTAGCATAGTGTTATTTATACATATTTTAACTGTTATGATGAATAATAATCTTTAGACTGGGAAAATATGGGAGAAAATCACTGCTATATATATATTAAAAAGAAACTTGATTAAATGCATGAAACTCCAAAATTCTCTAAATAAAGCATTTGGTGTATAATTTTTCTAACAGATGAGAACAATTGTATTGTAGACTGAGTAATAAAAATTACCCTTCACTCAGTACCACCTCCATTTCTTTCACATTTTATTAAATTATTTAGTATCATGACCTTATTCATTTACAGCTTTATGCTTATGCATAAGGTACCTGCTCATTGAATCATTTTTATTTAAAAGGTGCAATTGGAAGGGAGCTTTTGTCTTTCTTTTTGACATGACTTTAATTTGTCTTTATCCTCCCCCGATGTAGTTTAGTATAAATAACACATGTTGCAATAGTGAAGTGTTTTGATAACTTATTTCTTGTGTTCTTTAGAAGAAGAATTATTTTCAATGCTGCTGTTCAAAATTCTTATTGTTTGGGATTTTTTTTGCAAGAGTTTGCTTTGTTCCAAATTGGTATGTAATCACACTAAATCTTGTTGTCTTTTAAGCAGAGTGCCCCTATTTAGTTAGTAAAGGAGATAAAGGTAGGTATTTTTATTGGATTCAAAGATTTGATCCAGCAGAAATATTTAGCAGTACCTTAAATTGAGATAGCTAGGCAGATGTGATTTCATTACATGTAGTTAATTATTTTATGAAATATAAATAATGTATATACTCATTTGTGTGAGATTTGCTATACAGCTACATAAAAACGTACTGTTAAAGCCTGAAATTTTATAAAAGCGAGAATTGCCATTCTGTCATCTCTTATATTCCTTATTCTGTGATATGCAACTTGTAGATAGTGTAAAATAATTTAATTATTATTAAAATTGTGTATTTAGAGGGTTTTGGTGTTAATAGAATCTTTTTTTTCTCTTCATACTTCTATACATTATCATATTTATTTTTAAGGCCTGATTGTAACTGAACATGCTGCCAAAGGATTTATCTAAATTCAGATTTCTACCTTAGGTTTATACCTACTGTTTTGTATCAGGAATCAATGGTAGATAACTTCTGCTTTTTCATATAAACTCTTATTGTTTAACATAGAAATTTGTGCAACTTTATAATGAGAACTTTATTGTAATATATTTGTTTCATGGATGTTGAAAGTATCAATACTAGATAAATTTTCTTCTAGTATGAGTTTGCAACCTATTATGTCTAAGTTATAGTCAACTGAAAGCAACAGTTTAATTTGTCTTGAATATCACCATGCGGAGATGTGTTTTGGGAAATCTTAATATTTCATACAGCCTCGGTGTGACATTTGCATTGTCTATTTAATTTGTTAGAGAAACTACAATATTAAAAAAAATAAAGTGGGTTCTGTAACAGGTAAACCTAAATAATGTTATATGTTCGTGTTGCTCTAGCTTTTCTTCCCAAACGCTGGCTCGTGCGCAGCGCGCTCCTCCGGAGGGCTGCCCTGCGGGAAGCAGCGCCGAGCGCGCGGGGCTGCCGCTGTGCCCCTTCCAGGCACTATTTACTGATAGGAAGACTTTTTTCTTGTTTTTATATATTCGTCTTTTCTAAGAAATAGAAAATAGGCACTACTCTTGCCTAAACCGAGCACTGTGATGTATCTGTTGAGTGGGTAACCTTTGAGAGTTGGTGGCACTTGCCAGGTAAATTCGGTAAATTTTGCTTTAGCTTTTACCGAAGCAAACCGAGCCTGGTGTGAAGGGAAGGAAGGAAGAGGTGGGGTGAGTTGAGTTGTGGGCACTTGGGAGCTTTCCTAGCTCTGTCCGTCTCTCTGGAATTGTAACATCAGCCAGGGGCTGATGTCGCCCCCGATGTACGCTGTGCCTGACTTTGAGTTCAGACTAACCTCCCGCTCCTATTTTGTCTGGTGTTTGAGTTGAAAAGGTGCTGGTTAATGGGTCTGTCGCAGGTGTTTCTTACAGAAAATCACCCTAAAGAGTTTGCAGCCGTAAGAATAAGGGATCTGTTTTATTGCAATATCCATTTGGCCTCTTGTCTACAATGTGTGTGCATTGCCTTGTGTGAATAAAACACTTTTGTTTAACAACCCAGGTGAAGAGTTTTCTGTTTGAGGCAGAGTCAAATCCGTGACGGAAAGAGGAGGCAGAGGTGACACGAGTCAGCGTTGCAAGCGCCGCCGCCGCAGCCTTCTCCCTCTTCCCGCGGGGCCTCGGCAAAGCCGGGGCTCCCCAGGAGACTCGTTGCTCCGTAGCCGTGCTCCGCTCCCGCTGCTTGGGAGCTGCTGCGGCTGGGAACTACTGCCTTTAATTGCCTTTAAGCTGGGCTTAATACGCCGGAGCCGATACCGCTGCAGACTGGGGGTGGGCTGCGGGAAAGGCTGGTCTTCAATGGCAGTCATGATAGGCTTTGCCACTAATGATGTGTTTATAGAGAAAACAAATACACCGCTTTTAAGATCTGATTGTATTGTGCATCCTAAGAGCCTTGGTTGATTATGGGTTTTCAAGGAGACTCTAAACAGTTTATCCAAAAGCGGTATTTCTAGCCCACACAAAGTATGAATAAATCCCTGTGCTTTACAGAAGCCCTCTGCTAAAGCTGTGCATGGGCTCCAGAACAGTGTGTGCAAGGAGCCTAATATACTTGGTAACAACTTGGGTTGCTTATTTAGGTAAATTCTATATGTAAATTTCCGAGATGTAAATTACTGCATTCTACCACTTACTCAGTTATTGACCCCGTGGGTTCATTTCAGGTCCCATGCCAGTGCAAATCTGCATTTTGCCAAAGCAAACCCATATTAGGTTATTGGCAAAGCAATACTTGAACCTTATTTTTCACTTCCAATCCCCACCTCGATTTGCTGTGTCTTGCTAAAGTGAGAAGAGGACATGCTTAATTTTCTGTACAGAGCTTTAATTTGGGAAGCCAGCCATGTGCTCGGTCATGTTGAGATTAATGCTTAAAGAAAAGTATCCTTCCCTGTATCATTATAATGATTAAATGGAGTTTAAAAATAATCTAATTTAGACTACAGCATTCATGACCCACATTCCTCTTGGATAAAATAAACCAGGCTGACTAATTTCATCTGAGGAATTAAAGAAATCCACAGCTTGTGTCTATAGCAGATGAGAAAGACACGTGTTCCGCCTGTGCTGGGGGCTTTGCCAGAGGGGCGAATGCTCCATGTGAGGCTGGTGGAGATGACCCATTGGAGCCTGACGTGGTCCCCTCACTGGGACATGGGCCTTGGTTTCACCTCCCTGCACTTGCTCTTGCTGAACACTTAAAGGCATCAGGAAGCACCTGGAAAGGGGTAACCTAAATGTTGTTACCCCTTGCATTAGAGAAACAGGCATGCTTTGATACCTCTATAAGTTTTCCTTCTTTGTGGGTTTCCTCCTTCGCTGGAGGGGGGAAGAAGGAAACATATTTTTGGTGAGGGGCCGCTGCTGCGCGAAGCCTGGTTTAGCAGCGGGCTGGGTTCATTTCAGTGGGAGGTGTAATGTACTTGTAGCTAAAGCACAGGAGTGGGAGCAGGAAATCCAGGTCCTGTTCCCAGCTCTTCCCCAGCTTTCCTGTTAAAACTTCAAATTTATCACTTAATCTCTCAGTTTATTTTTGTGGAAATGATGGTGCTCTTGTTGAGCGGCCATCAATGCAAATGAACACAGGAGCGATGCTCGGGGTGCTGGCTGGCACCGCAGGGCAGGCCCCAAGTGCACCGTTTCGGGTGGTTTCAGAGCAAATTCGGGCAGAAGAGGTTAAGTCGGGCTCGTAGCCCAGTACTCACTTGTGGCTTCTGCACTGGCAGCTCCATCCTGCCAAGATCTTGCGTGGGGACGTGGGCGGCAGCCTCAGCACAGGGACTCGCGCCATGCGCGCAGAAAGCCGAACACCACGGTGATGGCTCGGGCGATTAGCATCAGTTTATGATTGTTTCCGTGCGTAATAGCACAGATTTGTCTGAGAGCCAAGTACTGCCAACTCGCTCCTGGAAATTAGGTACCTGGCTCGAGGCAGATGTGCTGCTCCACAGCTTCTAGGGCCTGGAATGGACCCAGGGGAGCTGCTCAATGGGGAAAGGCAAAACCGAGTGTAATGCCTGATACAAACCAGAACGAACCTAAAGGTTTCACTTAAACAGCTCTTTCTTTAGCTCCACTCACCATGAGCCAGTATTTACTCAACTTTATTATTTCTATTCAACTCCTGTCCACAAGGAAGGGGTGCAACCTGGTTTGGTTCTGCCGGGGAAACGGCTCCTCAGCGCATCCCCTTGTCCAGGGAGCCCCTCACAGCTCCCCTGCAAGGCAAAAACAGCCCAGAAAAGACTCAAAAAAAAAAAAAAAAA